CTCCTCAACATTTAAAAGGAGTCAACCAAGGTATTCCGGAAGCCACTGAGCTGATCCGAGATTTAATGAATTTGAGTTATTACTTAGCTAATACATTTCTAAAAAATTCTTTAAAAAATTGGCCGTTCTTTAGTCCAACGACCTCGTCCAGCTTAGAGAAATTTATATAAAATAATGGCAGAACAAAGACTGGGATTTTTTTCGAGAAAGGTATTTGAGTTTCAAGCTAAAGCGAGAAACTGTTTGTTCCAGTTCAGCCTGACAACAATTTCTGGATCAGAAAAATGTCTTACAAACACTACTTATTAGTGACATGTTATTTCATATGAATGACATATTCTATTCTGATCATACTATAATAATTATTAGTGACATGTTAATACACTGATACTAATCATTCGAATGTGGAATGCGTGATAATGGAATAAAGAAAATTATTTATCGATGAGACGACCCTTGCATTGTTCACAATAAGGTCTAATGCAACAGAAAAGTCTGCATCTATAATATTTATCAAGCAATGCCTAGCAAATTACGGATCAGGCAATAAGTCCAGCAGCTATCTCNCTGCCTTGATGGCCTATGAGTTAACTTTTTTATGGCCTTGATGGCCTAAGAGTTAACCTTTTTATGGCCTTGATGGCCTAAGAGTTAACCTTTTTATGGCCTTGATGGCCTAAGAATTAACCTTTTTATGGCCTTGATGGCCTAACAGTTAACCTCTTTATGGCCTTGATGGCCTAAGAATTAACCTTTTGATGGCCTTGATGGCCTAAGAGTTAACCTTTTTATGGCCTTGATGGCCTGGAAGGCGTCGTCCATGCTGCCGATGGCCAGAAAAAAGGAGAAGTTAAGCATGGCCTCCCGCGTGAGGCGGTCACTGTCCTCCAGCCCTGCAAAGTCCCGCATCACGCGCTGCGTTATCAGACCGCCGTCCTGGTGGACAAAATGTTTATTTATAACGTCAAGATAATGCGTTATCAGGCCGCCGTCCTGGTGGACGATATGTTTATTTCTTACGTCAAGATAATGCGTTAGGAGATAGAATAGAATAGAAGTGTCGGCACTGAAGAAATAGGCCCAAGTCCTGTTGCCGATTCTTGAATTTTTGTGAATTTTGAATTTTGTGTTTTGAGGAAATACATAGTCACGTGATGTTTCCTAGAGAACGAAACATTCATTTCTTACGACAAGATAATGCGACAAGATAATATTGTGAGGAAATACATTGTCACGTGAAGCTTCCTGGAGAACGAAACATTATTTCTGATGTAATACGTCAAGATAATGCGTTATGAGACGTGTTGTGGAGATATACATCGTCATGTGATGCTTCCTAGAGAACGAAACATTCATTTCTTACGTCAAGATAATACGTTATGAGATGTGTTGTGAGGAAATACATTGCTAAGTGATGTATCGGAGAGAACATTTCGTACGAATGTACATTTTCCAGTCAATGATCGCCTTATACATATGAACAATAGTTGGACCAAACCACGAATTTTACTAGAAACAGAGTCAGCGCTGTTATCAATCACGACGCGCGCAATTGCGTAATTGGCAGAAAGAAAGAAAGTTAGCAATAAAGTAAAGCTCTACAATCTTCAAACAGCATCATATGCAATAACTGTTGTTTTGCTGCCAAGAAATGGCCTTTGGCAAAACAATAACTGTTGTTTTGCATAGAATCTTTGTGCTTTTTGATACTCACTTCAATGATACAAGAATAAATATCACTTTATCTAAAATAAAAACTGAAATAACTTGAAGAAATGAGAAATAAATAAATAAGTAATAAATAAATAAAAAAGAAATAAATAAATAAATAAGAAATAAGTAAATACATAAGAAATAAATAAATAATAATAATATAACTCACGGGATTTAAAAAACTAAAATAACTTGAAGAAATAAGAAATAAATAAATAAATAAAAAATAAATAATAATATATAACTGACAGGATTAGTCTCCCTGTTGTTGAGGAGGTAGACGTGGGGAACCTGCACGCCCAGGAGGCGGGTGTAGAGGGGCGGCAGAGGCAGCACATCTTGTACTATTGTGCCGTGCTCCTCTGACACAAACAGCGAGGCCACCACCACGCTTGTCTGCAACAATAGAACAATGTTAACTCAACAGCGAGGCCACCACCACGCTTGTCTGCAACAATAGAACAACTGAGGCCGCCTCATACAGAACAACTGAGGCCGCCTCATACAGAACAACTGAGGCCGCNGGTTCGCAAGGTAATAATTACATCGAAAGCTTTAGGTTCGCAAGGTAATAATTGAATCAAAATTTCCATACCGGCCTGAGACGTCCCAGATCTTGACGTGTCCCAGGATGGCTGTCTCTTATACACATCTAGATGTGTATAAGAGACAACCACAACACTACTCACAAACCTCACCACTCGACCACAACACTACTCACAAACCTCACCACTCGACCGCAACACTACTCACAAACCTCACCACTCGACCGCAACACTACTCACAAACCTCACACAGAGCATAAACGATGGCATCAAACCCGCACACAGAACACTACTCCTAACAATAGACATCAGTAAAGCCTTTGATGCCATCCCTCGCCTCTCTCTCACAAACAAAATTTACAACACCACAGAAACCAGCAGTGCAGAAACCCAGCTCTCTAGACTGGAGAGCTGGGTTTCTAGTCTAGAGTCTAGACTAGACTAGAGTCTAGACTAGACTAGACTCTAGACTAGAGTCTAGACTCTAGACTAGAGTCTAGACTCTAGACTAGATTCTAGACTCTCTAGACTTTAGTCCACCTAGCCAGGCTGCGCTGCGGCCACCACCCTTCACTACAAACATACGCAAACAGGATCGGCCAAGCAGACACAGACACCTGTCCATCCTGCCAGAGACCTGCCCATCCTGCCAGACACCTGTCCATCCTGCCAGACACCTGTCCATCCTGCCAGAACACATTCTCCTGGAATGTCCGCTCTGGCAGGACCTCAGACAACACCACCACATAACCTCGACCCTACAGCTCTGGAGCGACCCCCTGTCGGTGGTGTCGTACTTGCGCGAGGGGGGTCTCCTATAAAAATGAGACCGGTGGAACCACAACAATAACTACAATAATAGAACAATGTTTGCGTTCCTCAGATCCTAACCTTGGCGGGGTGAGGCCGCAGGATGAGGCTGGAGGGCTGTAGGGCAGCGAAGGAGGCAGAGGGCGAGTGCTGAGGCGCAGTGGCCACGGCCTCACACAGCAAGAGGCGCGCGTCCTCGCGGTCCCAGGTGTGGCTGCGGCTGAAGCGGCCGCACACCTCGCGTGCTGCCTCGCGCTTAGCCCTGCAAATAAATGGGTCAAGTTGTCCAAATGCTGACTCACTATTTTACTCACGGTGCACGCACCGCCTCGCGCTTAGCTCTGTAAATATATGGGTTAGGTTGTCCAAATGCTGACTCACTATCTTACCCACAGCGCACGCACCGTTTGCTTCTAGATCTGCACGCCGGAGGAGGCAGTGCATTAATTATGTTTAGCATGGAGCTCGCGATGCTTTATAGCCACGGTGAGTTGAAATACATTGTTTAATACATGACATTACGATGAAAGTACATGGCACTGATATCATGATTAGTATGTCGTGCACCGTGTCCCCGCCTCACCGGTCGTGCCCCGCCTCACCGGTCGTGTCCCGCCGTGTCGGAGGAGTGCAGAGTGTCGGCGCTGTTGGGGGGCGCGCTGCCGTCCAGGTCGTCGTCCTCGTGCTGACCTGCAGTCACACACTCAACTTAAGAGGCAATGTAACTCAACTGAACATTTCTGTTCACAATGACATTTAATACGATAGAAAAATTAATAAAATAATTGTTCTGTTACCACGCTGAACTTTGAAACAATGCTCGAAAAATATTAAAACAATTTTACCAGACGCGAAGTTGAAGCAAGTAACAGTGTCTGATATTGAAGTTTGGAATTTGGGTTAATTCAACTTATAATTTCTGTTCACACTTACATTCATTACAATGCTCAGAAAATAAAGCACAAATCAGCGAGTTTCATACCAGACGCGAAGTTGAAGTAAGTAACAGTGTCGGTATTGAGGTCCCAGATGTAGAGTTTGGGGTCCGGCAGCAGGGAGGTCTGAGCGGCCGTCACGGAGGCCTTGGTGCCGGTGCTGTTGACGCGACCGCTCATGATTTCACCGAAGTCTTTGATGACGTCAGCGAAGTTCTTAGAGCCGCTCACCGCCTTCACTTCACTGCAATATTGAACATCATTTCAATCTAAAATACAACATCAACAACAAAAGTGAAAATGAGAGTTTTTTATCACTGCAACATCGATGATTCCAATCTAAACTATTGCAATCGAAGCACGAGAGATAGCAATCATTTTAATCTAACTTACAACATCCAGTTTACACCGAGGCATGAATTTTTAAATTTGGACTAGTTTCTCCATTATAATAATTTATACTGACGATATTTCACTCATAGAAAACGGCAGGTTAAACCTTTATGAAGCTTTAGGTTCGCAAGGTTTATAATTATTTCGAAAGCTTTAGGTTCGCAAGGTAATAATATTTCACTCATACAAAACGGTAGGTTAAACCTTCATGAAGCTTTAGGCTCGCAAGGTAATAAATAAATAAAAATTTCCATACCGGCCTGAGACGTCCCAGATCTTGACGTGTCCCAGGATGGTGTAGGACAGCATGAAGTTCCCGCACAGGTCGAGTCCTACAGGCTGTCCTTCGGACTCTGGGAAGCTGAGCTTCTGTAGCACCGAGCCTTGTACAGAGCGTACCTGTAGCGTGTACACTCTTAGTGATGTACTGCACCTTGTACAGAGCGTACCTGTAGCTGTCTCTTATACACATCTAGATGTGTATAAGAGACAGGTACAGAGCGGCGTCGGCAGGGCGCGTCTGCTGCTCGTAGCGCCACATGGCGAGGTGCCCGCTGCCCGTGCCCGCACACAGCATATCTGCAATAGGTATTGTTATTATATTAATTCAACTAAAACTTACACAACACAGAATATCTGCAATATTGTTATTATTTTATTATCTCAACTAAAACTTACACAAAATCAAATATCTGCAATGTTATTAAAATTATATTATCTCAACTAAAACTTACACAACACAGAATATCTGTAAGATTATTATTAATATATTATCTCAACTTAAACTTATCCAAAACATAATATCTTCAATAATATTAATATGCCATTATCTCCCAAATATCTGCAATATTGTTCATATTATATTATCTCAACTTAAACTTATTTTTAATATTAGCTTTTAATCGGAATTTCAGTATATTAAACTATTATATTTTAGCGAGATTACGATTTTAACAAAAGTGATATCAAATAAACTATTTTATACTGTTCGTGTCCTTAAGATTTTACAGAGTGAATTTATTAAACTATTTTAAGTGTAATTTCTCATGATTTGATCCATGGCCACTTAACCGGCATTCAACGGACGCTGACTAGGAGAGTTAAAGCTACACTGTTAGAAAAAACGGTGAAAAAACGGTCCCACTGGCTTTCTAGTGGCCGGTCGCCCTTTGAAAATAAACTGTTTCGCCGTTTTTATCAGATGTTTTACGCATTTCTAGTGTTAAATTGGAATAAAAACGGTGCCGCGGTGTTTCTTTTCACGTGCCGACCGGCCACTGAAACGCCGGTAATACCGTTAACGGTAATTTTCCTAACAGTGTACAGACGGCATTGAAGGTAGCAATTAAGTGAGCACAGTTGCCTGAAATTCATTTATATATTTTCCAGGGCCCATACTTTCAAAAAATGTTAAGAGATCGTAAGTTCATCAGCCAATCATTGAGGGCCTTTCAAGCAAAATCCACCAATCATAGACAATAAAATAGAGCGTAAGTACTTACGTTCACTTAGCGAGTTTTGAAAGTATGGCCCCTGGCCTGGAGCCGCAAGCGTTCGCCCCCTGACAGTAGTGAACAATATTTTCAACTAAAGTTTAGTAGCAAGAAGCAGCTTTGGCCAGTGACAAGTCGATTTAGCGTCCAATTATCCAGCCATGCAATAAACAAATTAGAGGTTTTTTATCATTCATTCCAGTGCTCCTAGTCATGTTTCAATACATGTGGGGTAATTCGTACACTGCGTGTCTTGATAAATGTGAAGGCCTCACTTTTGCTTTGGCAGAACGAGAGGCACATGATGGCCTCGTTATCCTTGAAGCCGAGCGCAGGTTTGAGGCTGAGGACAAAGTTGTCGCCGCTGTCGATGTTCCAGAGACGCACGCACGCGTCGCCGGTGCTGACAGCCATGACGCCTGACGTCGCCCAGCACAGGTGAATGTCAGCTGACCGGCCCGTGCTCAGCTTTACCTGGAAATTTTATATATTGATACACACATATTAATATTGTCTGTAATTCCCACGCGCCTCAGAGTATCAAGTATCAGTATCAGAAAATCATATTTATCGCAATAGAAATTGAAGAGCCGTTTAAATTGTATTGTCTTTTACCTCGTGATAATCCCATTTTTCAAACCCGATCTATTTAACAAGAAATGATGAAGGAAACTCGAGGCACAATATGAGTCTCTTAGTTTGACAAAAATAAACCCAGATGAAGGAAGAAATAATATAGACAATGATACGTTTCCTGAGTTCCCACTCTTGAATATGAACCTAACAGACCTTAGGGAGCGAGACTAGAACGGAGCTTTGGAAGAAACTTTCCTTGTCTATTTGGTAAGATGGAAATGCTGTGGCTTTTCAATTGCTTCATTCGAATGCGTGATTGGATGAGTATTATTAAGCGAGGCCTCAGATGCGTACAGCCCATGAAACATAACCATTTCTCGACACACATTTCAACGTACACGGATTTACTAGTAACATGGGGAAGTATTTCGTCGGTAGGGAAGAGACAAAATGAAAGAGCTTGAAGTTGCAGCAGGCAGAGAAACCTGACAACTAAATAAATCAAGTTCCTCGAAAGAGAAAGATCAGAAAAAGGAGAAGTTAAGCATGGCCTCCCGCGTGAGGCGGTCACTGTCCTCCAGCCCGGCGAAGTCCCGCATCACGCGCTGCGTTATCAGGCCGCCGTCCTGGTGGACAAAATGTTTATTTCTTATGTCACTATAATGCGTTGTGAGATGTGTTGTGAGGAAATACATCGTCACGTGATGTTTCCTAGAGAACAAAACATTCATTTCTTACGTCAAGATAATGCGTTATGAGATGTGTTACATAAAATACATCGTCACGTGATGCTTCCTATAGAACGAAACATTATTTCTTATGTAATACGTCAAGATAATGCGTTATGAGATGTGTTGTGAGGAAATACATCGTCACGTGATGCATCGATGAGAACATTTCGTACGAATTTACAGCATCAAGACAATGATTGCCTTATACATGTGAACAAACGTTGGACCAAACCACGAATTAGACTAGAAACAGTCAGCGCTGTTACCGATCATGACTAACGCAATCACATAATTGGCAGAAAGAAAGAAAGTTAGCAAGAAAGTAAAGCTCTACAATCTTCAAACAGCATCATATGCAATAATAACTGTTGTTTTGCATAGAATCTTTGTGCTTTTTGATACTCACTTCAATGATACAAGAATAAATATCACTTTATCTTAAATAAAAACTAAAAAAACTTGAAGAAATAAGAAATAAATAAATAAATAATAATAATAATAATAATATAACTGACAGGATTAGTCTCCCTGTTGTTGAGGAGGTAGACGTGGGGAACCTGCACCCCCAGGAGGCGGGTGTAGAGGGGCGGCAGAGGCAGCACATCCTGTACTATTGTGCCGTGCTCCTCTGACACAAACAGCGAGGCCACCACCACCTCTGACACATGGCAGAACGAGAGGCACATGATGGCCTCGTTATCCTTGAAGCCGAGCGCAGGTTTGAGGCTGAGGACAAAGTTGTCGCCGCTGTCGATGTTCCAGAGACGCACGCACGCGTCGCCGGTGCTGACAGCCATGACGCCTGACGTCGCCCAGCACAGGTGAATGTCAGCTGACCGGCCCGTGCTCAGCTTTACCTGGAAATTTTATATATTGATACACACATATTAATATTGTCTGTAATTCCCACGCGCCTCAGAGTATCAAGTATCAGTATCAGAAAATCATATTTATCGCAATAGAAATTGAAGAGCCGTTTAAATTGTATTGTCTTTTACCTCGTGATAATCCCATTTTTCAAACCCGATCTATTTAACAAGAAATGATGAAGGAAACTCGAGGCACAATATGAGTCTCTTAGTTTGACAAAAATAAACCCAGATGAAGGAAGAAATAATATAGACAATGATACGTTTCCTGAGTTCCCACTCTTGAATATGAACCTAACAGACCTTAGGGAGCGAGACTAGAACGGAGCTTTGGAAGAAACTTTCCTTGTCTATTTGGTAAGATGGAAATGCTGTGGCTTTTCAATTGCTTCATTCGAATGCGTGATTGGATGAGTATTATTAAGCGAGGCCTCAGATGCGTACAGCCCATGAAACATAACCATTTCTCGACACACATTTCAACGTACACGGATTTACTAGTAACATGGGGAAGTATTTCGTCGGTAGGGAAGAGACAAAATGAAAGAGCTTGAAGTTGCAGCAGGCAGAGAAACCTGACAACTAAATAAATCAAGTTCCTCGAAAGAGAAAGATCAGAAATTCCCTTACTCAAACTTAATCATGTCCAGTCTTGAAATGCCTAGCACCTTATGAGCCTTTCAATAAGTCCAGCAGCTATCTCAATCAGTCGTCAGTTATGAAAGCTGAAGATCGGGTTCCAAAAGCCGGATCCCTTGTGAATCAAGTCATGAAAAGTACAAGAATCGGCAACAGGCCATGGGCCTATTTCTTCAGTGCCGACACTTCTATTCTATTCTTTACCTTGGAGATCTCGCGCACGGCGCCATCAGCGTCCGTGGAGAACTGAGCGAGCACCAGCGCGTCTGTGATGACCACGAGGAGCTGACGCTGCTGGTGCTGCAGCAGTCGCAGGATGGCGCCCTCTGCCTGCAGCACTTGTACGAACGCCCCGCCCTCCGACACGTGGTACACGACCCCTGCAACCACGCCACCATACAGACAAAAGTATACTGTTTATTACATGACATTTCTATGAGAGTACATGGCACTGATATCATGATTACATGATATTAGCATCGTGATTATATGATATTAGCATCATAATTACATGATATTAGCATCGTGATTCTGTGATGCTTATGTTGTGCACCGTGTTCGCGGTCGTGCGTATAGTATGTCGTGCCCCGAATAGGTAAATCTTCATCATGTCTGCGCGCGGTGAAGGCGGCAATGTAAAGGAAAAGTCGAATTCTAAGGTTTTAAAACCATGGGTTTAGCTTTAAAAACCCCGAAAAACCCTTATTCTATGGTTTTCAAACCATGGGTTTAGCTTTAAAACCCCGAAAAACCCTTATTCTCCTCACCGGTCGTGTCCCGCAGTGTCGGAGGAGTGCAGGGTGTCGGCGCTGTTGGGGGGCGCGCTGCCGTCCAGGTCGTCGTCCTCGTGCTGACCTGCAGTCACACACTAAACTTACAGGCAATGTAAGGCGTAACTGAAACTTTCTGTTCATAATGACATTTAATACGATTGAAAAATTGATAACATAATTGTTTTGTTACCAAAATGAAATTTGGAACAATGATTGAAAAATGTTAAAGCAATTTTATCAGACGCGAAGTTGAAGTAAGTAACAGTGTCGGTATTGAGGTTTAGAGTTTGGGTTAATTCATCTTATAATTTCTGTTTACACGGACATTTAATACAATGGTTAGAAAATAAAGCATAAATCAGCGAGTTTCATACCAGACGCGAAGTTGAAGTAAGTAACAGTGTTAGTATTGAGGTTTAGAATTCAACTTATAATTTCTGTAATTCCACGGACATTTAATACAATGCTTAGAAAATGAAGCATAAATCATCGAGTTTCATACCAGACGCGAAGTTGAAGTAAGTGACAGTGTCGGTATTGAGGTCCCAGATGTAGAGTTTGGGGTCCGGCAGCAGCGAGGTCTGGGCGGCCGACACGGAGGCCTTAGTCCCGGTGCTGTTGACGCGACCGCTCATGACTTCACCGAAGTCTTTGATGACGTCAGCGAAGTTCTTAGAGCCACTCACCGCCTTCACTTCACTGCAATATTGAACATCATTTTAATCTAAATTACAACATCAAGAACAAATCTGAAAATGATAGTTTGAATCACTGCAACATCGACGATACTATATAAACTATAATGCAAGTTGCTATCGAAGCACGAGAGATAGCAATCATTTTAATCTAACTTACAACATCCAGTTTACACCGAGGCATGAATTTTTAAAATTGGACCAGTATCCCTACTATTATAATTTATATTGACGATATTTCACTCATACAAAAAGCAGGTTAAACTTTTATGAAGCTTTAGGCTCGTAAGGTAATAATTATTTCGAAAGCTTTAGGTTCGCAAGGTAATAATATTTCACTCATACAAAACGGTAGGTTAAACCTTCATGAAGCTTTAGGCTCGCAAGGTAATAAATAAATAAAAATTTCCATACCGGCCTGAGACGTCCCAGATCTTGACGTGTCCCAGGATGGTGTAGGACCTGTCTCTTATACACATCTAGATGTGTATAAGAGACAGATACAGAACAACTGAGCCCGCCTCATACAGAACAACTGAGGCCGCCTCATACAGAACAACTGAGGCCGCCTCATNGTTTAGACAAAAAGCTAAAATGAACGTTATATCCTAAGAATTTTCTTCTAATCTGTTGTTTAGACAAAAAGCTAAAATGAACGTTATATCCTAAGGATTTTCTTCTAATCTGTTGATTAGACTTAAAGCCAAAACACTTCACTAGTATACATAGATTAGTGTTCTCATCCGTTCATGACCCGCTGCCGAAACTGAGATTTCACTTCAGAATCCCTAGGGCTGTATATTCAAATTAATGGAGCTGTGTCCAGGTTATATATAATACAGTTGCAATATTTAATTTTTCTATTCATTTTCTAAACTTTCTTCCAAAAAAACTTTATCGAGAACTTGGGATCAAAATTCGTCCACGGAATGTACTTGTTAAATTCACATCACAGTAAGATATTAAGGTCATTAGTACGGAAATACCGCTCTGTAAATTGCATCAAACTTTCTCAAGTCTTTTCTGTGTTATCTGAAGTTTTAATTGACGGAATCCTAGTGCAATAAGGTGCAGTTGAACTTTTATCAAACAAAGCGTATTTTTTACAAGATAGTTGCCGGCGATTGGCCGTAGGGCTCGAGACATTCTGACAAGATACTTTACGAACGTCCGGTGATAGCGCCTCAATATAGTGCGAGAAGATGAGAATACTATTCAACTAATTTACCCTATAGGTACTCGTTAACTGATTTAATTTCGGTGATTCACTAAAAATAGTGAGGGAAGATGAGAGCACAAACTATTCAACTAACTTACCCTATAGGTACTCATTAACTGATTTAATTTCGCCTATTCACTAACCGATGCGCGAGGCAGCCGAGGCGTCCGCGTTTATCTGGAAGACAGCCATGTGCGTAGCGTTCCAGACGAGTACGCAGTCCTGCGTGTTGTGCACGCCACGGACCTGTGCGTGCAGTTAATCCTGATTAGCCATCACGCAATCAGAATTATGGGAATGTGGATTAAATGAAGGTGGATTAGGGGAAGGTGGATTAAGGGGACCTGCTACCCTAAATCGAGGTAGCCTATAACTCCTACAGTTATTATCCGATCATCATGAAACTTCACATACAAACGTAAAATGTAAAAATAATAACATTTTACCTCTATGAATTTTTCGAAAAAATTGATAGAAAACGTGATATTCATAGAAAACGGACAAATAAACTCGCTTGAACGTTATATCCTAAGAATTTTCTTCTAATCTGTTGTTTAGGCTAAAAGCTAAAATGAACGTTATATCCTAAGGATTTTCTTCTAATCTGTTGTTTAGGCTAAAAGCTAAAATGAACGTTATATCCTAAGGATTTTCTTCTAATCTGTTGTTTAGACTAAAAGCTAAAATGAACGTTATATCCTAAGGATTTTCTTCTAATCTGTTGTTTATACTAAAAGCTAAAATGAACGTTATATCCCAAGAATTTTCTCCTAATCTGTTGTTTAGACTTAAAGCTAAAACACTTCACTAGCATACATAGATTAGAGTTCTCATCCGTCCATGACCCGCTGCCGAAACTGAGACTTCAGTTCAGAATCCCTAGGGCAGTATATTAAAATTAATGGAGCTGTGTCCAGGTTATATTTAATACAGTTCCAATATTTAATTTTTCTATTCATTTTCCAAACTTTCTTCCACAAATACTTTATCGAGAACTCGGGTTCAAAAGCCATCCACAGAATGCAATTGGTAAGTTCATATCACAGAAATATATTAATATAATTAGTACAGCAACATAGCTTGGCCAATTGCATCAAACCTGCTTGCTTGCTTTCTATAATATATTCATGAAGCTCCTGGACGAGCTACTTACGCGGAAAGGTTACCTAGATAATAAAGCGTAGGCGTACGTATGAGCAGGTAAAACTGTTCTTTGATAGTGCCTCAATATAGTGCAGGAAGATGAGAATACAAACTTATCAACTGATTTATTCTAGGCTGGTTAACTGATTTCAGAGGGAAACAAGTTGCGAGCTCTGAAAGACAGCGTACAAACCTTGAAACTTGTCCTATCAGAAATAGCGTTGTATGGAAGTGGTCCTGTGTAGACTAAGGATCGGCCACACACGCCTCACCCACAGATACCCTATGGAACACCGCTCAATGCCTTACTGCAACGACTGTCTTGTCCCCCTGACAGTGATGCACGTGATAGCAAAGCATGGTTGAACTAGTATAAGGTTAACCCATCAGAAGCCCATTTTTGCGGATGTAGTTCGTTGTTCGCATGTGACGTCACTGATCTCAGTGACATCACGGGCATTAACCAATCACCGAAATGCGATCAAACCAATCAACCAATCCGCCATGGGAATGACGGGTTTGTTTACGTTTCTTGATCTACGTGACGTAACAAGAAAGCTGAATTGAAAGACGGAACTTCTCGTGGGTCAACCTTATATAGTTCAACCATGGGTCANCTTATACACATCTGCGATGAAGAAAACACGAAAATCTTCAGCAAATTTGACAATTGGATTTTTCGAAAATTCTAACGAATCTTACTTAAGATATTTTGTGAAGATTTTAACGAACCTTCTGCCCAGCGTCCAGCGTTATTTCGGATGCGGCGCTGAAGACGTGGATTTTCAGTTTGGTTGGGGAGATCTGCACGGCGCATACCTGCTCACCACAAGTGTGAGGTTAAATGACTTTTATTTAAAGGTTAAAATGTCATTTATTTAAAGGTCTAAAGGTTGAAATGCCATTTATCTAAAGGTCTAAAGGTTAAAATGTCATTTATCCAACGGTCTAAAGGTTAAAATGACTTTTATCCAACGGTCTAAAGGTTAAAATATCATTTATTCAAAAGTCTGCACAGCGCACACTAGCAAACCACATACTTAAGTAAAAAATGTTATTTACCCAACAGTCTAAAGGTTAAAAAAATGTTATTTACCCAACGGTCTAAAGGTTAAAATGTTATTTATCCAAAGGTATCACATTATTTTCCGAGTGAATTGAAGTCGACTGTTTGATAATTGTTTTGAGTGACAGAATAAATAACGTTATGATGAAAATACGAATAAACAAATGCAGTAACGTAATAAATGTGATAAATGTAATAACGTTGTTCAACAATGCTAGCTGCCATCCATTGTATGCATAAAGCTGCGAAAAATTTTTACGCCGTTTTTTGACGAATAAAGAATGTTCTCAGACGAATGTTGTACGAAGTCAAAAATGAAGGCATAGAATCTCTACCGAAAATTAAAGCAATATCATTTAAAATAATCTTCCAGCTCATCGTTATAGTTCGTTTAGAGTTTCAAACAAACTTGTGGCCGTTCAATAACTTGCAGCTTCGCACTCAGAGACCTAAACAAACAAATTGTTTAGGTCTCTAACATTTG